ACAAATGTACTACTATGGTGGGAATGTTGATAGTGAGGGAGGAGGCTGTGTGCTTAGTAGGGCAGAAGTATGCGGGAACTTGCCATAATTTTGCTCAATTTAAAAACACTTTTTGGTGTAATACATATAAATAAAATTTACTACTTAAGCCATTTTAAAGCATGTGGTTCAGAGGCATTAAATACATTCACATTGTTTGTAACCATTACCACTATCCACCTCCAGAATGTTTCCATTATCCCAAAATGAATCTCCTGTCTACTAAATTTTGCTGTGAAACTAAAATCACTCTACAAAACAGTCTATTAATTTTTTTTGAGAGGGGAACATGAACCTACAGGGACAAAAATAAAGATTGAGAAGTCAACAGCATCAAAAACTTTAAAGCCAGAGAGTAGATGAACAGAAAATGACTTAAAAACTGGAGCAAAAAAATTATATTAACAATAAGCACACTTAGATCCCTTCATATTTGAAAATCTTTCTACTAAAAGTCAAAAAAGATACAATTTTTCAATTATCAGCTCAGACACAATGAAAAGATGTGTTCTTTCCAGTAACCTTTTTTTTTTTTTTTTAAAAAAAAGATTTATTTATTCTTGCATATAAGAACTGGGGCACAGGCCAGATGCACGGGAGGGTGAGAGGATTCACCAGAGACAGAGCGGGGAACGGAACAGGCAGACTGAGGAAATACATTGCTGAGGGGAGCAGTGGGCAAGACAGGAGAGGTCTGCCACGCCATGTGGGATTCTCACCGGCTGGCCAGAATTGAACCCTTACTGCAGAAGCTGCGGACAGCGTCACAGCACTGTGCTCAATGGCCTGCGCCACCAGGGGAGGCCCTCCAGTAACCTTCTCAGCACCCACAATCTATTAGGTTTTCTCAAGACCTCTCTGGTTTCTCTGTTGGTTGATGTTCTAAATGACACTTAAATGTCAGAGTTCTTCGAGGCTCAGGTACACACTTCCTCTTTTCACTCTACTTTCCCCTCGGCAATTTATTCCAAACTTATGGTTTCTATTATGAGATGCTCAAATGTTATCTCCACTTTGGACTCAATCTTCTGAATGCTAAACCAATAATGTCAACTATTAACTTGGCATTTTCTCTTGATGTCTCAATACCACTCAGGTTCGATGTCCCCCAAACTAAACTCATGATACATCCAGCACTGCCCCACAGCAGATCTCTTTTCAGCATTCCCACATCAGTGGTTTGCAGGCTTTTTACTGTATTTGCTTAAGCTGGTAATTTAAATGTCAATTTTAACACATCCCTTTTGCCCACTATGTCAAAATTTGATTTTCTACACCACTGTCAGTCCATCCGTTTGTCCACATCTCTTTCACCACTCTTAGTTCAAGGTAGCACCACCTCCCATTACTAAAAATTTCTTTCCAATTGATCATCCTCCTTCATTCTAGCCTGTTCCAATTCATCTCATACCTGCAGCCAGATTATTTTCAAAAAGTAAATCTAATTGTGTTAACCCATTTCCTCTTAAAACTCCTCATTTGCTTCCCAGAGTGCTACATGGTCTGACTCCATCCACCGTATCATCTTCACCCAAATCTTTTCTCTTTATGCTGTAATGTTCACAGTGTCCCTTTAGCTTGAAAGAAGCATATGCTCCTTCTGCTAAGAAATCTGTTACCTATCATCTTTCAGATTTATCTCTACTTAGGTAAAATGTTCAAGACTTCCATGAATAAGTTAAATATGCCTCTTGCAAACTTTCACAACACTGTGTACTCTCCTGTAATAGTTATTATAGTAGCAATTTTGTCTCCATGATTAATTAAAATGTGTTTTATCTCAGATTATAAACTTCCCAAGGCAATTATCATATCAGTGTGGCTGCCCTTGTATCAACCAATGCTGGACACAAAGTAGTCATTCAATACATATCAAACTGACAAGCAAGGAACTGAACTATCCATAAAGTTGCATATATTCATTTAAAACAGATAATATGCAACAAAATAAATATATGATGAGAAAGAACTCAAACACCAAAGAGTAAGTACAAGTTGTATGGCTCCATTTTTAAGATGTTCAAGAACAGGAAAAATGAATTAATGGTATTTAAGTCAGAACCATGGGATAATTTTAGGGCAAGAGGTTTTACTGATTAGGAAGAGGGAAAATGAGGAGTCATCTGGGTACTAGAAATGTTCTGTGTCTTAATCTTTGAGGTGGTCACATGAATGTGTGTACATACAGATATACATACAACACACAAATTCATCACTATTTTTAGTATATTTTTCTGTGTGTGTTATATGTCAATGAAAGGGGGAAAAAAGGAAAGCATTTTGGAAAGAAAAGTAAAAATCTAAGTACTGATGAGAAATATAACAGCAAAATTTTGGTTAGTTAAAATAATCACTTTGCAGAACATGATGTATATATTATGCTCTTGATTTGGTGAACTATACACACACACACACACACACACACACACACACACACACTTGCAAGTTCTGTCTTCTGGTTTCAAGAAGTAATACAAATCCTACTCACACTAACTTGAGCAAAAAAAATCGCTTAGATAAACATACCTGGAAAGCATATTAATCCACAAATTAATTTTTATTAAAAACTTCAGGGAATTCTCCAGACCATTCAAAGGCTATTAATAATTAGGGCCTCACTCAGGGTTGACCATGAAAATTGCAAGATCACAGTTCTCACAATGCTAGAACCAGGGCTGGTTAGATTTCAAATGAGCTTTCTTGAGCTTCATCAAAAAGACTGGGGGTCTGTCCATGAACACCATGCAAATTACAGAAGCCATAGCAAACCACAATTTTAAAGCCCAAGTACCCAATAAAGGCACATGGACTGATTCTCTGAAGTGCAGGCATCTGAGCTGCCTCTTAGCTGGGCAACTCTACATAGCTCACTACAAGGTGAACAGCAAGAACCCACTCAATGATGTCACTGATTCTCAACAGAACTACAGAAAATCCTAGCTAGTCACATGCAAATCTTTTAATATCATGAGGCTGACAAGTGTTCAAGGCTTCAAAATACAAAAGTATCCCCCAAATCACATAGAATCTGATGATTTCTTAAATTCATAGGCAATCCTTAATTTGAAAAATTCTTAGGTAAAAGCTGAAAATAGTCATATAACACCAAATTTATAGCTACCATGTTTTCAAAATACTTAGATGGAAACAATCAGGTATATTTTATATATCCCAATTTTTTCCCCATTTTAAAATTATATTTATTGAGGTAATGTTGATTTACAACAGTGCATGCTTAAGGGGTATAGGTTCACACCTCTACAAATATATGTTCTCACACAGCCCAACACCAACATCCTCCAGTATGATCCCCACTTTGCTCCCTTCCCCAGTTCTGTCAGATTTGAAGGCTTTGTTTTTGTATTCCTTTGCTTTGCATATTCTATGAGTAAAATAATTGGTATTTATCTTTCTTATTGACTTACTTTGCTTAGCATAATCCCTTCCAGTTCCATCCATGTTGCTGCAAATGGCAGGATTTCATCTCCTTTTTTAAATATAAGCTAGTAGTATTCCACTGTGTATATATATCACATCTTTTAATCCACTCAACTATCACTGGGCACTTAGGCTGCTTCCAGAGCTTGGCTATTCATAGTGCTGCAATGAACACAGGAGTGCATATATCCCTTGAAACTAGTGTTTTATTTTTAAAAATTTATTTATGTATACAAGAACTGGGGTACAGGCCAGAGATGCGGGGGTTGGGGGTGAAAGGATTCACCAGAGACAGAATGGGGAACAGAACAGACAGACTGACTGAAATACACTGCTGAGGGGAGCAGCAGGTGAGACAGGAGAGGTCTGCTGCACCATGTGGGCTGCTCCCTGGCTGGCTGGCTGGGGACTGAACTCATGTTGCAGAGGCTGTGGATTGCTTCATAATGCGGTGCTTAAACCCTTGCACCACCAAACTAGTGTTTTTATATTCTTGGGGTAGATACCTCAGAGGAGAATTGCTGGATCATAGAGTAGATGTATTTGCAACATTTTGAGAAACCTCCATACTGTTATACATAGAGACTGGACTAGTCTACACTCCTATCAACAGTATACAAGAGTTCCTTTTTCTCCACATCCTTGCCAACATTTGTTTCTGTCCTTACTGATATGGGCCATTCTCAGGGGTGTGAGGTGGTATCTCACTTGGTTTTGATTTGCATTTCCCTAACGATAACTGATGCTGAGTAACTTTTCATGTGCCTTTTGCGTTCTTTGAAAACTCTTTTGTCCATTTTTTGACTGGCTATTTGCCAAACCAATATTTTATTCTTTTAATCATTCAAAGAAAATGAGCACCCATCATGCAGACTGAACCATGAGAAAATGCTGATATTTGACTATTTCTGACCTACAAAGAACAGCATTTTCATATGATTTAACCAAAACCAGGCACTGTCCTAGGTGCTAAGCTGTCACAGTGAATGAAATAAATTCTCTATCTCTATGGGGATTTACATTGTGTGTGTGTTTGCAGAAGGGTGAAGGAGAAGTGGCAGATAACAAATACATAAGCCAATATATGGCAGATCAGATAGTTTTATATACTTTGGAGAACATGAAAGGTTAAAAGAGAGAGAACGGTTGTTGCTTATTTTATAAAAGTGGTCAGGAAAGGTTCCACTTATAAGACAACTGTGCAAAAATTCTAAAGAGAGAGCAAGCCTTTTAGATTCTTTTACAATGACACAATCTGGTTGCTAATATGAAAATTTTTGCCAACTTTACGCCGGAAAAACACAAGAACAAATAATTCTGCTAAACTACTATCGCAATCATAGCCCTGCAACCAGGCAATCTGTACCTAAACAAGTAGATACCAGTTAAAATAATCACTGCAGCTTACAGTTCTTACTCTCCATGCAGCACATGTCTCATGTAAGCACTTTTCAATACATGCTTTCAATCTAGTAAATATCCACGTGTACCAACATACAAAAAGGCCAGTTATTTGTTCTTACATCTTTTGAAGAACCTGGGCCATCACAACCCCATTCGTTAAATCTTCCACGGTCTGGCATGGTGCGTCCACATTAAATGTCTGGATCTGAGGAGAGAAAAGATTCCATGGTTAACTAAATAAAAGATTTGTTAGGTTTTTTTTGGTGATTATCTCATCTTGGGAATTGTTATAAGCTTTGAAAAACTTTTTCATTTCCCTTTTTGGAAAATTTCCTGAAGGTTATTACTGCAATTTTTCCCCTTTGGTAAAAGAGAAATTGTGGTGGGTATAGGGTGACACCCAGCATTCAGTCTCTTCAGTAATGATCAATATAAGAAAGTCATGGTAACTTCCTTCCCTATAGTAGTTACTGTCTCAGGGATGCACCAAATACTTTGTTCAGGCAAAAACAATTTGGACCAAAGCATGCTTACTTGATCTTCTGGGAAAGAAAAGTCCATCCCATCTAATGCGGACAAGTATGTTCCTTCATTATCACTAGCAGTCATCCTATGACTATTAAGGGAATCAATATTAGGATGAAGCCAATGCAATATATGGCAGAGAGGAAAGACAGAAAGAACTAGGTTCCTGAAGCCAAAATTGAGCCACTGAATTAATAAACCTTAAGATCGAACTCGAGCTGCAGTGCCTGGAGACAGCTTGATAGTGCTGTCTTTAACCCCTGCGCCACCAGGGAGGCCCTAACTTTTCATTTTCCTTCCAAAATGTTGCATGTAACACTTGAGGCACTGGAGAATTTTTAAATAGCTAAGGACTTGAACTTTCACTGGCAGTTCTCATTACATGCAGTTGTTTTTCCTAGTAGTTTTTTCAATCATCTTCTATGACGAGTTTTTGGAAAACATGTACAACATGTTTTCATACATCTTCATACATCTTCAAAACTCATAGTTTCTGTTGCTCCTCCAAGAACCTGGCGATGGAGCCACAGGCACTGCTGTTCGCTAACATGCACCTTACTCCTTCAGCAGGCAAGAGAAAAAGCAACATACATTTCTTATTGAGCTCTGCCAGATTGAGGGATGTTACGCAGGGCCAAAATGTCTTTAAACAGATGTAGAAGTCATAGTTACTATACTTAGGTCAGATATTCAACTTGTGCTGGTTTATTTTAAATGGACTCTGAATTAGAGCTTTGTAATGACCAACATGATGTGGCCAATAAATGGTTTCCTGACAGTAGAAGCTATTTCTATGAGTAAGATAATATAGCTAAGTCAACTATGATTATACCTAGTAGTACAGGACTTAGAAGGAAATAAATCACTGAGAATGGATAGATGCAGGTCACGCTCTCACATAAATTATAGGTTAGTAAAATGAAAGAGTATTGTAGGAAATGTAAATAGCAAGCATAAAGATTAAAGTGAGAGTGCTATGTAATCTAGCAATGAAAGCAGTTTGGTATGGACTAGGTAGAGAGGAAGAAATGGAACAGGAGGAAGTGGTTTGTGTAAAATATCCTAAATCATGTTAAGATTTCACCTTAAGAGTAATGGGGAATAAGCAAAGGATTCTAAACAGGACAGTGAGGACATGAGATTTGCAAAGTATAAAGATCACATTGGCTGCAGTGGGGGGTGGGAAGAGAAAGGATTAGAGGGAAAGAGGTAGAGAGACTTACTTTAGTAGGTATATATATTCACACAGATGAGATCAAACTAGGTAGTGACAACAGAAATATTGCAAATAAAGGGAGTTATCCTGGGGGCGCGAGGGGTTAAGTCTCAGCACTATGAAGCTATCGGCAGCCACTGCAGCAAGAGATCAATACCAGGCCAGGGAGCTAACTCACATGGCACAGCAAATCTCTCCAGTCTCGCCAGCTGCTCCCCTTCACAGTATATTTCAGTAAATCCACCTGTTCTGTGCCCCACTGTCTCTGGTGAATCCTCTTACTCCCCGCACCTCTGGCCTGTACCCAGTTCTTGTATGCATAAATAGATAAATCTTTTTCAAAAAATTGCACCACCATCCCTGGTGGTGCAGGCGGTTAAGTGCCGCACTGTGAAGCTATCCACAGCTTCTGCAGCGCAGGTTCGATCCTGGCCAGCCAGGGAGAATCCCACATGGCTCAGCAGACCTCTCTTGTCTTGCCCGCTGCTCCCCTCAGCAGTGTATTTCATCAGTCTGCCTATTATGTTCCCAGCTCTGTCTCTGGTGAATCCTCTCACTCTCCCGCGCATCTGGCCTGTACCCCGGTTCTTGTATAAATAAATAAATCTTTTTTAAAAAAATTGTGGGGGTGGGGAAAGGAAGTATTGGGGTCAAAATAAGGGGGTTGCAATTGTATGGGGAATATAAAAATAAAATTTAAAAAATTGCAAGTAACATTCAGTCAGCTATCTGACTTCGCACACATTTTAATTTATTGGGTTATAGGGCCTCCCCTGGTGGCGCAGCGGTTGAGCGCTGGGCTGCAAAGCTGCCTGCAGCCTCTGCAAGTGCCTGTTCGATCCCCGGCCGCCGGAGAGGGTCCCACATGGTGCAACAGACCTCTCCTGTCTCGCCCGCTGCTCCCCTCAGCAGTGTACTTCGGTCCTTCTGCCTGTTCTGCTCCCCGCTCTGGCTCTGGTGAATTCTCTCACCCTCCCACACTTCTGACTGTACCCGGTGCTTGTATAAATAAAATAAATAAATCTTTAAAAAAAATTTATTGGATTATATTTCTAGAAGTAAAATTGTGAGGTCAAAGTGTACATATATTTTAAGGTGTTACTTAAATGCTCTTATTTGAATACTGCTAAAGTATCCTTAATAAATGCTGTAGCAAGTCACTCTTACTAACAGTAGATAAGTGTCCACTTTTCTGTAGTGTATCATCTACAAAATCTTTCAAAAAAGGAACTACTACAACTACGTTAGAAGCATCTTCATGTTTTTGATATAGGAGAGTCTTGTAAATAGTGATTATAATGGCTATTAGAAACTAAGGGAATTCACAAAGATCCCACAGCAAGTGGGTTTTTTGGTCTGTTTGGAGAGAGGTGATGAAGAGGGCCCTTCCAAGCTACCCTTGGACATTATTCCAATACATGTTGGAAGTTCAATAAATAATTAGTAATAAATAAATGGAACCAATAAATATCATCTGCAGGGACTAATCCTGAATTTTACTCTTTACTATCTACAGTTGCTTCTTCAATGGTCATGTGGCAATAACAATGAAGTTTAAAAAGAAGTAAGTGGGGCCTCCCCGGTGGCCAAGAGGGTTAAGCTCTGCACTGTGAAGCAGTCCACAGCCTCTGCAGCACAAGTCTGATTCCCAGCCAGCCAGGGAGCAAGTCATATGGTGAAGCAGACCTCTCCTGTCTCGCCTGCTGCTCCCTTCAGCAGTGTATTTCAGTCAGTCTGCCTGTTCTGCTCCCCAGTCTCTGGTGAATCCTCTCACCTCCCACATCTCTGGCCTGTACCCAGCTCTTGTATGCATAAATAAATAAATTTAAAAAGAAGTAAGTACCTGCATTCATTTTACATTTGCTAAATCAATCTCTTGTAGGTTTGTTGGAAAAGAAAAAGTGGTAGCAGTGAGAGTCAAGTCTTGTTTATTTCTATATCACTAACCTTAGCACAATGACTGTTACAGAATAAGCCCTCAGAGAAGGTTGTTGTGAATGGAATGAACTAATTTTAAATCCAGCTTTGCTCCTTATTTGCCATGTGACCCTGAAATGTCATTTAATCTGTTTTTCCATCTAGAAACTGGGAAAAGTACCCTATGGAGGTGTGTGCTGCTTTAAGAATAAGTGAGAAAACAAGCACACATTAGGTATTTTAGAAAGACTAAAGCAGTGGTGCCCAAACCTGGCAATATATCTGAATCATATGGTAAATTGGAGGAGGCTAATAATCTTTAACAAGCTCATCAAATAATTCTTTTTTTTCCCCATCAAACAATTCTTACACAATGGGGCATTGGTTTGGCATTTGGCACCCTCCATTTGAATTATTAAGTGAAAGGGATCAAAGATTAGAAAACTCCCTCTGCCAATACTAAGAAACAACTCAATAAAAGGTTATTAAAAACTGCAAATAGTTTATCTAATTCTCTTGGGACCTAAAAAAAAAAAAAACCCAATTATTTCTATTTTTAAAACATGCCTTTCAAAAATTATTTTCTGTGCATTGGCTCTTGAGGTAAATAGTTGCTTGTAAGAGCAGGAGTATCTGCACTTCTGCTTTGAAATCAAAGCAAAGAAAATCCCAAAGAAAATCTCTCTCTGGAGTTTTCTCTTGGGTGACAAAATGTTCTTGGAATTAGATAGTGGTAATGGTTGCACAACCCATGTGATCATACTGTAAGCCATTCAATTGAAAATTAAAAAAATGAATTTTATAGCATGTGAATTACTATTTAAAAAAATCATCTACAAGTTCTCCTAAGCCAGAGTTAACATCTATGTAGTACAGCATAGCAGTACAGTAAGATTTAAAGATAACCGCACTAAAGCATGAAATTATACCTGAAGGTGGGTCATACCCCTTCTAATTCCAAGAATTTCTATTAACATCACCCAACCTCTTCCTTCCCTTCCTCCATAAAAGCATGAGAGGAATAACACAGGAGATCACCTGGAATTATTTACTATCTGTAGAGCAAGAGGTTCTCAGGCAGGGGCAATTTTGTTTCCTAGGAAACATTTTTGGTTGTAACAACTATGAGGGTACTACTGATATCTAACATTCTACAATGCACAGGGCAATGCTCATAACAAAGAATATTAAACCTCAAATGTCAAGTTATGCTACAGTTAATAAACCCTGCTTTGCTCTAAAGCAGTGGTTCTCAAAGTGCGGTCCCCAGGCCACTAACAAATAGCATCACCTGGAAATTTGTCAGAAATGCAAAATCTCAGGCTCCAGAACTACTGAATTATAAACTCTGGACAAGAGGTTTAGCAATTAGTGATAGATACTAATAAATACTAACGCATAAGACCTACTTCCTAGTGTTAAATTGGATGTGATAGAATCATGAACCATAAAGTTACCTGCCCAAAGTCACCCAGTCAGTATGAAACAAAACCAAGATTTGAACCATGTTATACTGACTTGATTTGCTTTGAAATCAAAGCAAAGAAGATCCCAAAGAAAATCTCTCTCTCTCTGAAATTTCCTCTTGGGTGATAAAATGTCACCCAATATGAATTTTGCACATCTGCTCTCTTTATTTCTCCCTTTGAGGGCAAAAATAGTTGGTAAGTGTTAGGCAGAGCAGAATGGGATAGGGAAGATGCCAACATAAAAACTATGCCCGCCTTAATTTTATACATGAATATGCATTTTATAGATTGCCAAATAAGTAATGTGAAATTTGTAGCTCTATGTTGGGTGTTGGGTTTCTCAGGAGAAAAGTACTGAGCCTATGTGATGATTCTTTGTCCATTTAAGCTTCTTGCCAACAACTGGTAGCATTCCAGGTTCTTTCTGGTTTTTCAGTCTCTAAACCCTAGGAAAGAACAATCTTCAATCTTCAATGCAGTTCAAGAAATTAAGGCTTGACAGGTGAAACAGGCAGGGCAGATTTTCCTAATAGGAAAGAATACTATTTGACTCAGAGGGTGGAGAGAGGAGGCAGAGTGGAAATTTTCAAGCACATCCTGTTGAACTTGCTTGATGTATAAACTTGGATTTGGAATTTAAGATGTTTTCCATTGGTAGGATGATACTTTGTCTTTTTGTAAGTATCCCTCTTTCAACAAAAATTTAGAACATTTGGTTCTTGAGCTTGTAGACGCTCTGATACAATAGCAATGTGCCCAGCATTTAGGGGGCAATGAGTTATTAGACAGGAATGAATGCTGCATTAAATCATCTCTGTAAGTGCCTGAGCTTTTGTACTTTTAACCATTTCTAGTGAAGTAATGGCTAAAATGCATACCACTCATCTCAAACTAAATCTATGAAATGAAAATAAGCTTTGATGAATTCAAGTTCTAATTATGATCAATAATTGAACATGGGAGCTTTTTAAGTATGTGAGGCTGACAAAACAAAGACTGACTGAATTACTCAGACTAAACCTTTCATTCTAGGGTCTTCTCTGTCAATGATAGTTGTCTGTATTTTCAATGTGTTGCTATTACCTTCTAACATGCTGTGTGCAAAGAAACCATACAACCACAGATGGCTATAGATTTATGTAAAAATGGACTAAATTATTTTCTTTCGAGTTTATTTTTCCCTTACATTTGGTTTTGGAATTGTGTTCAGCACTAATCTGGCCCCCACACATAAAGGAAGCTGTGAGACTAAATGTACACTTTCAGTTACCTCAAACACTTCCCATATTAACATTTATTCTGTCTTTTATGATGAACTAAAACAAACCCAGCACTTAAACTCATCTTAATTTTGAAACATTTCAATGCATAATGCTTTTATTTTTTTAACTTTTTTTTTTTAAAGATGTATTTATTTATTTATTTATTTATTTATACAAGCACTAGGTACAGTCAGAAGCGTGGGAGGGTGAGAGAATTCACCAGAGCCAGAACAGGGAGCAGAACAGGCAGACTGACGAAGTACACTGCAGAGGGGAGCAGCGGGTGGCAGGAGAGGTCTGCGCACCATGTGGGACCCTCGCTGGTGGCCGGGGATCCAAACCAGCGCTGCAAAGGCTGCGGGCAACTTCGCAGCCCAGGGCTCAACCTCTGAGCCACCGGGGAGACCCGCATAATGCTTTTAAAATATTTCCAGATCATAAAGTTGCATACATTTTTTTTTAAGATTTATTTATTTATTTATTTTTATAGAGGCATGTTTTATTTATTTATTTATTTGTTTGTTTGTTTTGTTTATACATGCACTGGGTACAGTCAGAAGAGCGGGAGGGTGAGAGAATTCACCAGAGCCAGAGCGGGGAGCAGAGCAGGCAGAAGGACCGAAGTACACTGCTGAGGGGAGCAGCGGGCGGCAGGAGAGGTCTGCGCGCCACGTGGGACCCTCCTCCAGTGGCCGGGGAGCAGCCGGGGATCAAACCGGCGCCGCAGAGGCCGCGGGCGGCTTCGCAGCCCAGCACTCAACCGCTGCACCACCGGGGATCAAACCGGCGCGCAGAGGCCGCGGGCGGCTTCGCAGCCCAGCACTCAACCGCTGCACCACCGGGGAGGCCCAAGTTGCATACATTTTTGTGTGCACTTTGCCCTCCAGTTTGTCATCGATAATCTCTAATCTTAATCTTCTCTCAAACTTTGCCTTGATGTGCCTCCCAGTGACATTTCAGAGTCTTTCCTACAATGCTATATTCCTTGACCTCTCTCTATAGCTGATAATTGGGATTATCCGTTTTCTTGGTATTCTACCAGGTTCTTCATGTTGTCCGCTTCTTTCAGTATCCCTTCAAAATTTCCCCTAGATTTTCTTATTTTTATTCCTATTTCTCGAATAATTGTACTGACTACCACTTTTTTGCAGGTGCCCCTCAAATACCCCTTTTTGTCTCCATGACTTTTCTTTCTAGATTTTTAAACAATGTAGGCCTACTTCACATTCAATTAGCTTGCTCATCTCTGCCCTTTTGTCTCTTTCTCTGCACTGTGGAAGGCACTGCTAGTATAGACTCAAAACAAGGACATCTTAAGATCCTCAATATTCTGTTTACAACCTCTACCAAACCCATTCCTTCCACAGCATCAAAGAATGTGATGACTCTTTATCTCTCCCTCCCTAGTCAAAAGGTGGCCATATTATGCAGCGATCAGTTTTTTTTCCCCCTACTCTAAAAGAGTGAAATCTATTTCCTGGCCTGAACTTGGAACCCACTAAAGTTGTAAGCTATGTGTTAATTACATATTATTGAAAACCATCTGAAATCCCAGAAATGGCCCAATACAAAAGTTGCTGTATATTTCAAGCTCTACCACAGTATACATTCTATTTCAGAGGGCATAATTCCATTCGCAGCATAGCTAAATTATGAAAATCTCAGATTACTTTCATTACATTTTTTTACAAGCAATATGAGGCAATGCTTTCCTAACCTTTCTATCCAAGTGCCCTAGACAGGAGAGTTAACATCTATATTCTAGGCATCTGAACTCGTAGCCCCGAAGGCACCGATAAATAGAATTTCTATGACATCTGTTTCGCCTTTAAAATTAATACAAATATGTAAGTGTCATTCTGGAAATTACATTTAACACTTTCAGCAAACAGAATAAAAAGTAAAGCCAAATGCTCCCGTTGAAGGAGGGGGGAAAACCCTCCAGGCTTATCTCATTCTGCGGATCTCTCTCTTCACACACAGACACACACCCAAAGTACTGACACCACAGTTGGAGAAACCCACAAGCATGCGCTTTATGTCAGGCTCTTGAAAAGGCTGCTGAAGGCACGACGGTTGGCATCAGAATTGGACACTTTAAAACGTGAGAACTTAAACAAGCGTTTAATAACGTAAAATTAAGAATGACAACATTTCCCCCGAATCGCCACGGCCCATTACTGGTTCCCAATACCCTCCAGACTTCTTATGCTCAGTACTTTAATAACTACCTCCGCCGCACCGCTTCCTCGCTCACCACCAGAGCGCACCTCGCCTGTTAAAGAAAAACCCCGTCTTCTCTGGGTGCCTCGCCTACATTTCCCCTGCCCTTTCTTCAAAGTACTTCTCCTTTCTTTTCCAGCGGGCCCGACTCATCCCCGGGACTGCGCTCCATCCTCCGTGAACGCGACTCACAACAAAGGCGAGGGGCGTAGCAACCGGGGGTCCCGAGTGCCTCTACCGGCCGCGCGGGGCCCGGGGCGCCGCCGCCGGGGTGTCCCCAAGCTCGCAGCGCCGCGCCCGCCCCACCAGCTGCGAGCACCGCCACTGCTAATTACAGAGCCGTCCGCACCCCATCATTAGCCTCCACCGGGCCGGTTTCCACTCGGAGCCCGGCCGACGCCTCCAGCCCTGCAAGTTTCCCCGGACCCCGGGCCGAGCCGACCCCGCCCGCCGACCTCGGCCCGGACGCGGGGCAGACGCGGCCCGCACCGGCGTCCCCCGGCTCCGCCCGCCCCGGGGCCCGGATGTGACGGCACCGCCGCCCCCGGCGCTCGCCCCCCGGGGCGCGCGTGGGGTTCCCGGAAAGGCGGCCCGGGCGGGGGGCTCCCCGGCCCGCCGGCCGGCACGTACCCAAGTGAGCAGGCTCTCGCACAGCTCCACCCGCTCCACCGCCTCCACGCTGAACATCTTCCCGCGGCCGGGCCTGGCAGCGCGTCCCGCCGCGCCAGAAGCCGCTGCCGTGGGGTCCGGGGCTGCGTCGGGGGCGCGGGCGGCTGCGCTGGCCTCTGGCCCACCTTCTCCGGGGCCGCGGCGCCGACTCTCGCCCCGGTCCTGGCAGCGGCTCCCGCACCGTCACCCCTGGGCCCCTCCTTCTCCTCGCACTCGGGCCGCGCGCCCGCTGCGCGCGCCCCCGGCCACGCCCGCAGGCCGCGTCTCCGCCCCCAGCCCCACGCCCGCCCGGCCCCAGCGCCCGCCCCGACCAGCGCCGCGGCCGACCAGCCCCTGCGCACGACCGCGCTCCGGCCGGTCCGCCTCCCGCCGCGCCGCCGCCGCGCCGCGCGCGCCCCCGCCGCCGCCCTGCTGCGTGTCGCGGCGCGCGCGCGCCCGACCCCGGCGGCGGCGGCGGCGGGGCCTCCTCGCCGGTGCGCTCGCCCCCTCGCGGAAGCGCGGAAGCGCGGCAGTGCGCGTGCGCCGCGCCCGCACTGCAAACCGAAATAGAGCCTGCGAGCGGCTGCCCGGGAGGGGTGGCGGGGCGGTCCCGGAAATAATCTCTGTTCCCAGCCGCCGGGATTTGGCGAGTTTCCCTCGGCGGTGGAGAGGTACGCGCCCCCACCCCGGCCCCGGACGCCGGGCCGCGGCCTCTGCTGTCGGCCGCGCGGCCGGCCACGCCCACCCGGATCCCGGCGCGGGGAGCCGCCGGCTGGGCTCGGCGTGGGCGGGACGTGGGGGGGCGCCGCGGGCGGCCGAGGCGCTTCCGGGCTGGGGGTCGGGGCTCTGACCCCAGGGCCCGCCTTCGCGGGGACGCCCGGGCCTGCGCCCGGAGTCGCTCGGCTCCAGCCCGGAATCCCCCGGCGGCGGTGGAAGGGCCGACGTGGCGGGGATCGCGGGGATTCCAGGTGCGCTCGGCCGGCGGCGAGCAGTCCCGCCGTTCTCCGGGGGGCGCGTGGACAAGACTCCTGGGAAACTTAACGCCGCGGAGCGGGGCGAGTGTGTGCGCCACTTGGCCGACCCGTGAGGACCCGAGCGCTTCTAGGGCCTGTTTCTTGTCAGGCGGTGCTTCCTTAGTGGCCGGGTGGATCGTCCTGGAGCGCACTCTCTTAGAGGAGTGAATAGCTTTGCAGGATTACTGATGCATTTTTATGCCATCTAACGTGCATACGACGTGCATGTGTAAAGAATAATAGATTATAATAAAGCATCCAGGTGAAAATTAAAAAGAACGTTGCCAGTGTCTTTGGAGTTCTACCCACACTTTGTGTTCCTTGCAGAACTCCATTACCTCCCTAGCCTGACATTTATACTGTGGTTTTCCTTATAGTTTTACTAGCTATTTGTGCATGTCTAAATAATATAGTTTTACATGGTCTAGAACTGTCCTGCGTGGACTCATAATGTGTTATTTTGTGGCTTTCAATTAATTGAAAATTTGAGTCTAGAGGTAATTTTCATTGCTGTCTAGTATTCCACTGCAGGAATATAACAGCGTATCTTCTATACTGTTGATGGACATTTTATTGTGGGGCTTCTAAGGTACAGTGCTTTAAGTATTTTTTTTTTTTTGCTATATGCATTCTTATAAGATACTACTGCATATGCTTATACTCATGGGTGCTAGCGCAAAAGTGTACAAGTTTGGAATACATGCCTTGGTGTCCTAGGAGAACTGTTGAGTCATATGGTATGCATAACATTACCAGATAATGCCAAACTTTTATATGAGGTAAGCAAAGTTAACTTTTTTCAGTGTACATCTTTACTTCTTTCCTGAACCATCTCTCTCTTCCTCCCCTCCTTTTTTTTTTTTCTTTTCATTAAGAGCAGGTTTTGTGATTAAGCATTCAGAACCATCAAGACAGTCCTGAGTTTTTAATGATGACATTCATAGTATTGTTTAACCCTTCCCAGATAATTTATTATTTTGAAATGCAAGAAAACTTAACTGAAGTCTTCTCTGTAGCCTTGTAAATGTTCTTTCTTACTCCAAGAGCAGAGAGACCTTTAGAAATGATAAGTACTTAATCTCATGCTGCTCTGTTTTTCCTGCTGGTGTCTCTGGATCTTTGTCAACCCAGAGTTCCTGCATTCCGTACTGGGTTGTTCTGTAGAATTCCTGGCACTTTAAATGACCATTACCCTTGTTAGTCAGATAAAGTCAGTAAATGTGTTTACATTAGCTTAACTCCTGTACAGCTTGTCTTTGAATGTGGGCAACAAGATGTTGGCCCTTTCTTGAGGGACTGGTGTATGTAGTGAGCCAGCTGCTCAGGTTTTGACACAAGTCAAAGGCTTCTGTCAAGGCTTTGACACAATTCACCTAAGCTTTTTCAAGCTCGACTGCTCATCCATATTCATTTGTGCTTGATACTTCCATGTTCTTGGGGTTTTGTTTTCTTCTTCTAGTAACCCTTGATGAAGAGAATTGAAAACTTGAATGTAATTTTCTGCAGAAGTTACGTGACCAGGTCTCTACATGAGCTTGGGTAAAAGACATTGAGTTTCTCCTTTGGAAGTTCTGGAAATTCCTATATTTCTCTTATTTTCCTTTTCCTTCTTTTTTTTTCCTTTGGCAAAAACTAAGGAGGGGTGAGTGGAACTTGTTTCAGCTGTCACCTCACTCTGGTTATTTGGAGACTAGTTCTTATCTGTAACTTCATCAGATTCAAGTAAAGGCGGTGTCTTTCATGGCAATGTTCCCAGATTTATCCTAGGGAATATCATAGTTAGCTCTTTGGTTAAATAGAGTTTGAGATGCACATACTGCAGCTGTGGGGAAGGTGTGGCTAAGTTTTTATCATGCTTGTGCTCACTGCTTGACAGTTGTTAATAATAGTAATCAAAACATTGTAACTTTCATTTACTGAGCACCTATGTGATATGTCAGGTAATGTTAAGAACTTTTCTGTCATAAACTCCACAAAACAATGGTTTGTGTTTTTTGCCCCAAAAGTGATACTTTGATATGGTTCAAGCTACTTTTATGTTTTTTACAATTTGAGGAAGCAGAGTCCTAGACTTGACATAAGTACACAGTTGTCTGACTCTAGAACTTAACACTTCTTTGGCTTATACCGTGCTTCTCAATCAAACTTAGCCAGCTAAACTAACAAAGCCAGAGCTGGAGGCCAATTTATCTTCAGACTTCTATCAATTAGTCTATACATTTTCCAAGATCTAGAGTATTTGGTTTCTATAAATCTCAATTAAAAAAATACATCTATTTGACAGAGAGCCTATAATCTAGATTAGACACCATGTTCTATAAATTTAATAATTTTGTTTCTGGGTTTCAAGTAGGCAGCATCTAGTGGTCCCTACAAAAGTGTCAAATTAAATGTGCACTGCTCGAGGAAATAAGATGTAGTGAGGGAGTTTAGCGACTACCTTTGGTTTTAATTAGGCTGTGCAGATGCTTCCCAGACCCTTCACTGAGAAACAGACTAGGGTGAAAGGAAACAGAGACTAGGGTGCTAGATAAGAATGGGACTGGAGACAGATATGTTAAACCCAAGCATTAATTTTTGTCTCTCAAGGGAGGAAACAAGCTCTAGCTTTTATTTTTATTTTTAAAGTAGTACATGCTTGAAAAGACTTCAGACTATGAAACTATCCTGGGAAAGGGAAAGGTCTGGCTCTCCTAGTTCTGCTCCCAACTTGTAACCATCTAACTTCTGTGTTTATCTTTCCTGACTTCCCTTTCTCTTCCAAAAAAACTCAGCATCAGAAAAATAGCAAAGAAGTCCTCAAGTCCATTTACATTTTCCTGAAAATAAGAGATTCTTAGAGATTATCTGGGGTCACAGTTGTGACAGAATTGAAACTAAATGTCCAAGCAGCAATGTTCTGGCTTAAGCTGAAAGCCTGTGTTGTTGGACAAAATTAGCCGCACTGCTGTATCCTAAACAAGCCTGACTAAAAGGAAAAAAATGGAGAACTGAAGCTTAGATTGACTTTGGAATTAATGTTCAAGATTGAGATATGTCATCTACTTAAGTGGAAAAATTTTATATTCTTTATATCCTGTGATCTTAGTCTCTTTCCAAAATGAGATGGTGTTGGAATACCTCACATTTGAACCACTAGCTCCTACAGTTCCTTTTTAAACTCTACTCTAAGAAAAACTGCTGGTGGAAGTTGAACGATTAAGCCTTCCATCAAGTAGGTCAGACACCAGTAGTAGTTCTCTATGTGAGAGGCCTGGATTTAGTTGGGATTTCTTCAGGCCAGGAAAATGCAACTGACCTCTGTGTTCCTCAGAAAAATTTACCAGTCTCCTCCCCTCCAGCCCTCTTTTTTGATGACACCACAATTTGTGGAAATAAAAAGTAACTTCTTTTAAACTACATTGGGAACTTGTGCTATAAAATGATGTAAATAACAGTATTATACAGTATTAAAGTATACTGGATCTCTGAGCTCTTGGAAGTATGTATGAATCAATATATTAAGAGTACAATTTTGTAGAAGTCCAGCATATGTACAGCAGGTCCCATATAACAGCATTTCATTCAATGGCCTGTTGTAACACTGATGAGAAAAAAGTTTATTCCTGGCTCGGAATAAACTTAAGTTTATTCCTGGCTCGGAATAAAATAAAGTCTATGTGGAGTTGACTCACCCTTCCATAACTGTGTAGTTTTCTCCTAGTTTTCCCTTTTCCTCCCAAATCCCAAATGTGCACAATTTTTTTTTCCCAATTGGTGTGTCTCCATTGTCCCACTCAGGGTGAGAGTGAGTGTGTGAGTGTGACCTGTGATGGAAGGGTTGGGTGTTGCCTTAACCCTGAGCTGCCAGGTAGATTCCTACCATCTGAGAGACTGAACTGGAATAATTGGGTTGGAAAAATGAATAAATGAGTAAATGCAAATTATTATTTGTATTAAAAGTTTGGGGACTTTAAGTGTGGTTATGTTTTTGTGACCAGAAATATGTCATAGGAACTTAACTTTTGTTTATGTCAGTTAGCTTGTGGTCAAATGTCTTTGTTGCCTTTTCACTTAAAGTGATAGTTTCCAAGACATTAAGTGAGGACTCAGTGTATATATATATTTAGTTGCCCATTAGAATGTGTATGTTTGTACAGTATATTTAGTATAATAACATACATATATTTTTAGATTAGTAGAATTTAATCACATGGCAACTGACTCTATCTGAAAGGACATAGAAACAGATGTAACCTGTTTTTTACAAAGGGCCAAGTGAACTGTCTAAATGTATTGCATAGGAGAAAATCCTCACAACTCTGTGAAGTAATCAGACTTAGTAGGTAGAGACTGACAGAAGGGGTACTCTTCTGGTTGTGTTTGCACATATGCAAATAGTTCTCACAGCTCTTAGGCCTGTTGACATATCATAAACATCTCAGTAAGGGGGAAATCTGATAAAATGAAAATGTAAATTGACTACATGGCCTAACCTAGATTAGGAACCTTTCTTCAGTTTCAGCTGGCAGTTCTTTTGACTGTTCTTTTGAGTGAAAATACTGACATTAGAGTACTTTTCTCTGGGCTTCCTGGTGTGCTCCTTCACAATGAGCATTTGAAGCCTGTCATTAGAAAGCTCCTGATATACCAGTCTATTACTGTATATGAAGCCAAAGACAGCCACCTTTGATCTATTTGTTTGCTTGAGTTTCTTCCATGAGGGGTAATTTTTTTACTAGCAGGCAGTTCAGATTATTTTCAATGATGTTAGACTTTTACTCTCAAAGTTTCCTCTTAACTGAGAAATCTGGTTAATGATGATATTGACTAAAACTCTCAGTGCAGTAAATTACATGAGTACATATTTTATTTTAATTATGAATGGTCATGTACTTAATTGAAACTTTTTTTCTCCTTTAGGTATCTTATAAGACTTGAAATTTTATTGTTTTGCTAACTAAAAAAAATAGGAATTGCTTATCAATATTTGGACTCCAATGTGGTTGGGCTATCCTCATACCTGTAGAAATTGGATGTCATCCTTTATCTCTAGTTTAGTGTATGGGAAAGAGAGTTTCATGTACCCCTTTTTCTCTTCATAAGGAAATGCAGCCTCAGAGTGATTCCATATTCCAGGCAGTTCAAAGAATTCTGAACCATAAGCTGAGCTTAGTCCCAGGTGAGGCTAATAGTTTTTCAAGCATCAGAATTTTCATTAATGCAAGCAGTTTCAGTATAGATATAAATGTCTTATAGCCTAAATGTCTTTTACTTTTCTGATCAGTAATACTTTTAGTAAGTTAAGTCACTTATTTAAACATACTTACTAGGTGCTATCTGTAAACAGCACTATGTTAGGTAATATAAGAATACAGAAGAAGCAATGTTTCTTTTCCTGTCTACTCATGATAAATTCCATGATACATGTAGTCTATGAGGGGAAGAGGGATTTGATCTACTTGAAGAACTTAATTGGTATTCAGGAATAAGAAGAGTAGTTGGACATGAGGGATGTATTTTTTTTCTTAAAACTAAAGGAGCTAAACTTGAAAAGGTTATTTTAATTCTTTAAGTTGTAAATGAATGATAAATTATAGCCTCTGGCAAACTTGAAAGAACTTATTAAAAGGGGAACTCTCTATTGGAGTTGTACTTGATGCAACGTACCTTAAGTGGACACTACAAAAAATTTAATACATTAGAAACATCAAAAGTCCATAAATAGCTGAAGTAAAGCCAATCCTAAGCTGTAATAAGTAAAATTTTATTGTGCACACACAAAAAAAACTTTGCAAACCAAGAATGCTCAAACCAATACTTGGAATGAGGCTCAGGGTATGTTGTTATAAAGCAGTGGATATACTGAGGTGACAGCAACTGTTTATTCTTAACAATAATTAGTTATTATATTAGAATTTTCTTAAATGAGAGGGAATTGATCAGTGGTTACTTCATATCAACTGGGGGCACAGTTTGTTTATTTCTAGAGTTGTAAACAAGAACTGACCGAGGTCAAGTTAGTCTTGCAAAGTAAGCTAAATTAAATTTGCTTTTATGAAACCAGTTTTATTAAACTGGTTTTATCTGCTTAGGGAATTTTCAAGGCTAGTCTCCATTTGTTTTTTATTTGTTTTGTCACTTTATATTGCTTTTATTAGTGTATTTCATTTTCTCTGTGTCATTTATAACTTTTGCCTTCTTTCTTTATCTTTTAGACCTGGAATGGCCAAATATCAAGGTGAAGTTCAAAGTTTAAAACTGGATGATGATTCAGTTATAGAAGGAGTAAGTGACCAAGTACTTGTGGCAGTTGTGGTCAGTTTCGCTTTGATTGCTACCTTGGTATATGCACTTTTCAGGTGAGACTAAAGGATAAAAGAATTGAAACAGTATATATTTCCAAGGGCCACTATCTCCTTGCTTTTAGTATTATTTAGTACTTAATATGAAAAGTAAATAACAGCTCTCAATGATTATATACATTTACTAATGTACCTTATTTTTTATTAGGCTTTCAATGTCACCATATATTTTTCTTGTCATCAGCTGTCTTATCAGATAAAATTTAAATTTAGCATAGATATTTTGAAGACGATATTAATATTTTCTATGGGAGTATCATAGTTTAAAATGTAATTTTCATTACTATATCTGTTAACTTGTAGGTCATAAATAAGTGCAAAATATTTTCTGTCTTTACGGGGAGAAACTGAGGCAAAACAACAACAACCTTGTACAGTATAGAGGGTCTGTATACCAATACAAGGGACTAGGTAATAAACTAGAAATGTTAGTGTTAAAATCTAATATATATCATTGAAAATAGAAATGTACAAAAAGCATCAAATAAAAAAAGATGAATTTCCAAAATTACAAATCTTTAAAATTATCGGAAATATTATTAAATAGCATGTAAATACTTAAGAAGGAAAAAATGGCAATTAACTCTTTTACTTTTGAATTGTTAGTTTCTTATTAGAGTAATAGCATCATTTCAGTAGTGTATTTTACACAGTACCTGGTCATACATTTATGATGTAATGGGGAAATGATTACTAGGTGATAGTAGATTTAAGTGAATTCATAACTAGTTGATAGTTTGTTCAAAGGAGTACTGACTAATGTTTTAAATAAACCAAAAAATGGAGGAGAATGAATGGTGGTAGGACTCTGCCCTTGGATCCTTTTCTACTTGTTTCTGTTAGCATCTTCAAGACATACAAATATTCATTAAACTATCAATTGATAAATCTTATGAGAATAATATCTTATTCTAATGTATTGGTACAGTAGAATCTAGATTCAAAAGTGGGCCATCCCATATACTTATGGTCAACTGTTTTTTGAAAACAGCCCATTCAGTGGGGGAAAATTTCAACAAATGAATTGGGACAATTATATAGCCACATGCAAAAGAAGGAAATTGGACCCATGTTACATCAAATATAAAAATTCAAAATGGATCAAAGGTCTAAATACATAAACAAAAACTATAAATCTCTTATAAGAAAATATAGGAGTAAATCAAGATTCTAATATACGGCACCAAAAGCATGAGCAACAAAAGAAAAAATAAATTGGACTTCATCAAAATTAATAGCTTCTTTGTTTCAAAGAACGTCATCTAAAAAATGAGAAGACAACCCTAGAATGAGAGAAAATATTTCAAATATTATACCTAATAAGGTACCATATCTGGAATATATGAAGAACTCAAAATTCAGTTATAAAAGTAGCCCAATTAATACATGGGCAAAGAATCTCAATAGATATTCTCCAAGAAAGATATGCAAATGGCCAGTAAGCATATGAACAGATGCTTGACATCATTCGTCATCAGGGAAATGCAAATCAAAACTACATGGAGCTACAACCTCCCACCTATTGGAATGACTAAAATAAAACGTTAGATAATAATAATTATTGATAAGGAAGTAGAAAAATCGGAACCCTCATACACTGCTGGTGGGAATGTAAAACTGCTGCAGCCACTTTGGAAAACTGTCAGGTTCTCAAATAATTAAACATACAGTTTCCATATTGCCTAATGATTTCACTCATAGATATATGTACCCATGAGAAATGAAAACATATTTCTATATCAAAACAGGTACCGGAATGTTCAAAGAAGCATTATTCATAATAGCCAAAAGGTAGAAACACCCCAGATACCCATGAACAGATGAATGGATAAACAAAATGTGGTATATTCATACAATAGAATATTATTTAGCTCTGAAAAGAAATTATATAGTGATATGTACCAATCACAATGAAACCTGAAAACATTATGCTAAGTGAAATATGCCAGACACATGTATGAGTCTGTTCATACAAATGTCCACATAGGAAAATCTATAGAGATAGAAAAGTATATTAGTGGTTGTTTAGGATTGGAGTCCTAAGATGAGGGACTGAGGGTGATAGCTAAAGCTTACGGTTTCTTTTGAGATGATGAAAATGTAAAAATCAGTGGTGATGATTGCACAGATCTGACTATGCTAAAAACTATTGAATTTTATACTTTAAATAGTGTGGTATGTGGACTATATCTCAATAAAGCTGTTTAAAAAATGTATCATCACTATGCAAATATGAAAATATCTGCTCTTTACGTATTTTGAATGAGATGCAGATAGAAATTTATTGTCATGTTCTAGAACTTATGATAAATTGTTGAGAAATGTTGGGTGAAAGGCAAATTTGGTGTAGACCATTTTCTTTAAAAATAATTTTTATAAGATTAATTTTAACTTAAAAAATGTTCTTTGCCCTTAGCTTGTTTTTCTCATTTCCTTACTATGGATATCTATTACTTGTACAATAAAAAGTTTTCCCCCACAGACTGGAATGATGTGAAACCCAAGCTAAAAATTATTTAGTAAGGAAATTGTGTATTGTAGATGTCTGGCACACTCACTCACTTAGCAGTTTGGGATGGTATTAATCAAAATAATCAGATAAAGGTCATGCTTGGATTATATTCAGTTTGGGTCAAGAATTTTAAACTGGAAAATCTTTAGGGGAGGTTATCATAATGGATAAAGTTACAGAGACAAATAGAAAAATGCTTGAAAAATAACTAGCTTTAAGAAGATGACGTTTAGACATAAAAGCTGTCTTTCAATATGATGAAGACTTGTTTTCTTGAAGAGGAATCGGATTTATTCTGTTTCGCTTAAAATAGTGCACAAAACAGTGCTAAAGTTTCAAGATTGAGGAGAGGTCACTGTCTGGGTTCTCACCCATGTGCTAACAATTGCAAGACCACTCAGGCTCAGGAAATAATAACAATGGGGTTTATTTAACAAACAGGAGATTGGGGAAACAAAGGGTTTCTAAGGCCACAAGAGGCTGGCTGTCTCAGTGTCCAGTAGTCCCAAACAAAGGCTGTTCGTGAAAGATGGTGCTATCCTGTCATTCAGGGCCTGGAGCTGGTGGCACATTGTTCAGCAGTGCACCAGGGTGCAACTCATGGTGGCAACTGGAGGTGCTCAAAAGTGGGGCCACTGAGGTGACACCACTGCAACCCACAGCAACAGTGTGAAGACTGGGCTGGACAGCACGAGATACTGGAATGGACAGTAATGGACACAACTGGACCGGGAGGTGGTACCAGGTGATCAGAAGTGTTGGACAGCTCTCAGCCAGTCTCCTCTCAGCAGTGCTGGTTAGCACTGGTCACCAAGAGGCTATGTCAGAGACTGTCACCTTGAGTGGTGGCTGTGTTGGGAGCAGCATGGCACAGAGGAAAGACAACTCAAAGTCTAAGTAGTGAGAGAGAGAGTGAGTGTGCCAGACAGACAGACCTAGAGGGTCCTACACCTCAGGGAGTGCAGTACCTTTTTCCAGGGCAGTCTCACATTTATTGGAAATGAGGGCAAGTTTATGGAGGAATGTGTGTGGTGGGGATGTGCGTTGGGGTTGCATAATGGTCTGTATGTGGCAGGGATGTGTATTGTCTGGCACAAGCTGGTGGGTGGTGAATAAGGGCTGTTGCCTGGGGGGCTCCATTGTTCCTGCTGATCAAAACATCCTATCTCTAGTTCCTGTTTACACTTAACTTTCTGTCAAGGCAGTCTAGCTAGTTATGCTAATCTGGCCATAATGTCTGCCTGCTGTTTTCAGCAGATAACTGATTTTCCAGTATGTTCCTCATACCAAAACTTTCATTCTAGTGAGAGGTCCCCTGCCTGACTCTACATTTTAGCTTGATGAGCAGGAACTCTGGGTGCCACGATAATATCCTGAGAACAAGGGGGGGCTGAGGAATCCACAAGAGACACCAGTGTTACAGCTCTTTGTATGAACTATTGATATGAACCAAGAGCACAACAGCTCTTTGAGACATGGGCCAAGGCCAGTGATAATTCCTTGCATGAAATGTCAGGCAGGGACAAAGGCAGATGAGCAGCGAGGTCTCTGCAAAAGTCAAAGGCTCTGGAGGTCTACAGAGTCCATGGAGGTCTGGGGTTTTATGGCAATTGGCTGAATCTATGAAGGTCTCTGAGTTTGTGGAGGTCTCTGATGTTCCGCGAAGGTTGTCTGCTGAGTCCTTCTCTCTTTGGAGACTGGGAACAGAATGAATCAAGCTGGCTCTTACTCTGCCTTATATTCTTTCACTGTCCCCCACCCTACAAGCCTGATTGGAACGTTTTCAATCCTAAGCATCTGATTGGTGAAAATTAGCACCAATCAGTTCACTTCCATTTTTCAATCTCAATAATTTATTACCATGAATGAAACAGCTTGAACCTGATTGGTCCATTGAGCTCAAATATGATTGGTCCATTTATTATCCAGGGGCCAAATCCAAAAGGGAAAATGCTGGGGCCTGCGCAGACTGGACTTTCCCTGAGGTCAGGGCACTTTCATTTATTGGTGGACTCTGAAGAGCCATGTCTGGACCCACCCTCAGTGGGGCTGGAGGCACACTGCATCTCATGCCTCTCCAGAGAGGCCAAATGTAACAATGCATAGGGGGTGGGGGGGAACCAGCAGTGTAGCACTTGGCCATGCAGCTGCTGCAGGGTGGGCTCCACTAGGAGCCTCCATGTTGGCCCAACACTCTGCAGGCCTTTACTGCCTGAGGTTCTAAGGACCCAGAGCTCTGGAGCTGCCCCAATGCAGCCCAAATCTCCTCCTAGGAGCCCCTGCCCAGGAGCCATGGGGCTTAGGGTTTACTTCTGTAGCTAGGGCTTGTTCTGGTGGAGAGCAGCCTTGCTACTGCAGCCTCAGTGGGACCGCATGCCCTGGGACGGTGTGATTGGGGAACTACTGCTGCCCGCTTTCTGTACCCGCAGCCGCAGGCAGCCTGGGCCTCAGCTGGCAGCTCATTGGGTACAGCAGTTGGTGGAATGCCCCCTCAGACATCACCAAAGCCTGAGGGCTCCTCTGCTGTTGGGAGGGGGGATCCAATTTTGCCCAGAGGCTTGCATTTTGGGGATCAGATTTCAGCTTCATGGGCAGAACCAGGGCCATTAGGTGGAGATAAATAATGAGATTTTGGTTCATTACTTGGTCATTGTCTTGGATATGTCATATGATTGGGTGGGAGGTCATTTAGGTTACTGTTTAGCTCTTTGAATTTAAAATCAATTGACAATTGTATTCCTGTTACTTCAACTGAAGTAATCAATTAGTGTTGAGTTTGGGGGAAGGGGTAGCATCTGCAGTTTAAAATTCAAACAAAGGAAACTTTTGTCTCTTTTCTGTAACTTCTTTGATATTTTTAGGCACTATAGTTCTTTCCTTGTATATGGAAAAATATATGTAACATCAAATTTATCATTTTAAGTATACAACTCAGTGGCATTAAGTTGTGGCATTAAGTTATTCTGTTTCCAGGGTTTTCTCATCATCCCAAACAGAAAATGTACCAATTAAACAAGAACTCCCCATTGTTCCTCCACTCACCCCAGAAACCTTTATCCTACCATTGTCGCAATAATTAGCCTATTCTAGGTACCTACTACAATGGAGTCTCACAATGTTTGTCTATTTGTGTCTAGCTTCTTCACTTAGAATAACTCTACCTGTGTTTAGCAGGTATCAGGATTTCATTCCTTCTTATGGCTAAATAATATTCTATTATATGGATATACCACATTTGTTTGTCTATTCATCTATGATTGGATATTTATATTGGCTGTTGTGAATGATGCTGCTATAAACATTGGTGGACAGTGACTGTTTGAGTTCTTGCTTTCAACTAGAATTGCTGGATCACTTAGCAGTTTTTAACTTTTTGACCTCCAAACTTTTTTCATAGTGGCCACCCCATTTTTACATTTCCACTAACAATACATGAGAGTTCCAATTCCTGTACATCCTTGCCAACACCTTACTTTCTGGTTTTTGTTTTTATACTCTTCATCCTAGAAGGTATAAAGTGGCATCTCATTGTGGTTTTGATATGCATTATTGATAATGATGTTGAGCATTATTTCATGCTTACTAGCCATAGGTATGGGTTCTATATATATTCTGATTTAGTCAGTTACCAAATATATGGTTTACAAATATTTTCCTCCATTCTATGGGTTGTCTTTTTACTCTTGATAGTGTCCTTTGATGTACTAAAGTTTTAAAATTTTTGTTGAAGTCCAGTTTTTCTATTTTTTGTTACCTATGGTTTTGATGTCATGTTTAAGAAATCATTGCCAAATCCAATGTCTAAAAGATTTTCTCCTGTTTTCTTCTAAGATTTTTATGGTGTTATCTCTTAGGTTTGATTCCATTTGAGTTAATTTTTGTATATGGTGTGAGTTAAGGGTCTAGCTTTACTCTCTGGCATGTGGATATTGCCTGGCACCATTTTATGAATAGATTATACACATTGAAGGATCTTGGTATCCTTGTCAAAATTAGTCAGTTGATCACATATAAGTAAGAATTTATTTCTGGATTCTATGTTCTGTTAGTTTATACATCTGTCCTTATGCCTGTGTCCTTTTCATCACTCTGACTTTAGAGTAAGTTTTGAAATCAGGAAGTGTGTGTCCTGTTAAGTTTGTTCTTTTACTTCAAGATTGTCTTGGCATTTTAGGTCCCCTGAAACACCATATAAATTTAAGTTGGGTTTTTCTATTTCTGCTGAGATTGTTGGGATTTTGATAGAGAGTTTTATCGACTTTGTGAATCGGTCACTTTGGGTGGTTTTGACATTTCAAAAATATTAAGCTTTCCAACCTGCAAACATGGGATGTTTTTCCATATTTATATTTAATTTCTTTTAGCAATGTTTTTAGTTATAATTGCTTTCATTTTAAGCCTTTCTTGTTCTTTTTTTTTTTTTAAAGATTTATTTATTTATTTATACAAGCACTGGGTACAGTCAGAAGCGCGGGAGGGTGAGAGAATTCACCAGAGCCAGAGCAGGGAGCAGAGCAGCCAGAAGGACCGAAGTACACTGCTAAGGGGAGCAGCGGGCGGCAGGAGAGGTCTGTGTGCCATGTGGGACCCTCCTCCGGTGGCGAGGGAGCAGCCGGGGATCGAACTGGCGCCACAGAGGCCGCGGGCAGTTTCGCAACCCAGCGCTCAACCACTGCGCCACCGGGGAGGCCCTTTCTTGTTCTTCTTAAGCAGTGAATAATAGCTACCATTTTTTGAGATACCAGTCAAAAGAATCTGGTACGTGGCTTAACCTATAATCCACGTAACTTGTATATTTGTAAACTTATTCAAACTTTCTGAAGAAAGTTTGGGTATTATTTCTTTCCTTTTATCAGAGGTTCCTGGCTTTTTTCCAATAACAAGGAAAGACAATGTTTTTGATAAATGCAAAAACAACTACTTCCATTCCATGTTGGAGCCACCATTTCCCAAGGCGTCTTACTTTAGACCTACTGAGTGTTAAATGCTCTATCATTTTCTCATAGCTAAGGTGATTATATGTTCCAGATTTTCTAATCCAGCTTTCAGCTTATCATAATTATCCCGTTGTTTTCTAGAAGTTTGTTAGTACTCTCAGTTGGCAAACACCTTTAATTACCTGAACTGCAAGGTCAGCATCTCAAGATAGCTTGTTCTTTGGCTATAACTAGACTTTTTAGGTAATCTACCAAGTTTACAAATTTGTATCTTCTCTTGTATGGAAAAAACCAAAAGAGAAATCTTCCAGTCATATGATTTAAATCTATACCTTAAAAAGTCACAACTATCTTTTTTCCAATGAAAAGGGGATGGTTTTTCACTGTCAAAAAATAGAGAAATACTGTTTGCTAGCATTTACTGCCAGTGCTATTACTTGATAATTTTCAGTATAAAGTGGCTTTCTTTTATAGATCATTTATTCACTCACAAGAATCTAATATTTTAAAATAAACCATCCACCAAAATTTAATGTGTTTAAATACTTCAAGTAGTTTCATGACATTTATGTTGAGCTTTTTTTTTTAAAGATTTATTTATTTATGCATACAAGAACTGGGGTACAGGCCAGAGGTGTGGGGGGGGTGAGAAAATTCCCCAGAGACAGAGTGGGGAACAAAACAGGCAGATTGACTGAAATATGCTGTTGAGGGGAACAGCGGGCGAGTCAGGAGAGGTCTGCTGCGCCATGTGGGTATCTCCCTGGCCTGGGATAGAACTTGTGCTGCAATGGCTGCGGATAGCTTCACAGTGCTGTGCTTAACCCCTTGCGCCACCAGGGAGGCCCTATGTGGAGCTTTTGATTAGAGATTTGACTTTAAATTGTTTTTTATGTCTGCTCTGAACTAATGGTTGTATTTTTTAAAATTTGAATTTTGTACTAAAAATTGAGGAATCTTAGGATGGATTTCTTCAGTTTTCCCCCACCCCATTACAATACTGATTTAGAGTACTTATTGCTGTTGAATCAACATTGGTTCGTCCAACGACTAAAGGCTTTTCTATAGAATAACACTGGGATTGTATGTTAAATATTATTGATAAAGATATTTAAGTTTAGAAAAATTTCTACAGCCAAAAAAAATTAAGCTGTGATTCAGCTTTACATCTTTAGCCCCCCACCCTGCTAACCTAACCACCTTTTCTAATTTTCAGTACTTCCATGACTTATCCCATCCTTTTATAAATCAGTATTAACTTATTGCCCTTAATCTCCACTTTGTTAATGTTAAAATATGTTAGGTTTTGTCTCCTAAATATAGCAAAATTTCAGGTTCTGTTTTTCTCTATCTCCTGTTGCTCAAAGGTGAATTATTGGGAGAAAGATATAATTAGATAGGGAAAAGTGCTCAAATCCATATCAATGTATAGAATTATATAGCTATTTATTTTTAAAGAATTTCACAAAGGTGGGCCTCCCCTGGTGGCACAGGCGATTGAGTGACGCCCTGTGAAGTTGTCCGCAGCCTCTGCAGCAGCAGTTTGATCCTGGCCGGCAGGCGAGGGTCCCACATGGCGCTGCAGACCTCTCCTGTCTCGCCCGCTGCTCCCCTCAGCAGTGCATTTCGGTCCTTCTGCCTGTTCTGTTCCCCACTCTGTCTCTGATGAATCCTCTCACACTCCCGCACATCTGGCCTACACCCCGGTTCTTGTATAAATAAATAAATCTTTAAAAAAAAAATTTCACAAAGAAAATGTATTAATTGATTTTATTATTTGTAAGCCTATAATTACATTAAGTTCCCAAGGCACTGGGCCTCTGATTTGCTAGTTAAACCTGAAATGAACCAATAACTGGTGATTTTAGAAAAATTCATGCCAGAATACTCTGGATTGTTCTTACTAGAATTGGAGTACAGTTGTTTGTAATCATTTACATTTATTAAGTTACCAGTAGTTCTAGGTTGAATATTAGACCCATAAAGAGAAGATTCATCCGAAAATATTTTATATTCAAAGTTTATTATATTTTATTCAACAGAAATGCACATCAAAACATTCACCCAGAAAACCAAGAACTAGTAAGGGTACTTCGGGAACAACTTCAAACAGAACAGGTATTTATATTTGTTATATAAATATGTGCATTTATATAAAGAGTAGACCTTTTATTCTCCATGCATATGAAATTTTAATGAAACATTAACTACTTTTCAGAAACATGGACTTCTTTCCTGCTTTGTTTCCCTATATTATCCTGTTAATTGCATAATTTCAGGTTAGGCAAATGACTAGTCTTAATCTATTCAGGTGTTTTCATGTATGTAGGTATGTATATTTAACTTGCTTTAAAAGACAGAAGTTTTTCTATTATTTACTTGAGAGAAAATAATCACTGTCTAAGTTGACTTTAGTGAGATGGAGTGGAAAAACTATTTTTCTAACATATTCCCATAAGACCTACAAAGAAATGACTATAATGGGTGGCTTTTTTTTTTTTTCTTCTTTAGTGGTCAAAGTTAGCAAAACTAGCTAGACAAAGAAAAACTTTTCTCCTCTGCCACTTTACTTTTAATTGATGGACTCTCTAAGAACCAATAATGTAATATATTTTTAAGAAGGCTGGAATAATTTGGATAGTATATGCCTTCATGCCAAGATAGCTAGCATCTAGCCGAAATAAGTCAGAAGGAAAAACACAAATATCAGATGGTCTAACTTATTTGTAGAATACAGAGAAACCAAACAAAAGATCAATAAAAAGTCAAAACTAGCAAGCTGATCATAGACCTGAGGCATGTAGCAATGAAAGGGGAGGAAGGGGAGTCGGTCAAAACAGGGAAGAATACAGGGAATATGGTGATGAAAGTCCATGGGTGTTGGTGGGAGAAATATAGGGACTACAATGATGTAAGAAAAAAAATTAATAAGAAAAAAAGTAGCTGGCATCAAAAAACAAAAATTAAAAATTTATTTCCTACTCACCAACCAAACTTTAATTCTAAAGAGGGTTTTATAATTTATCCCACCAAATATTTATTGAACATCTACCATGTGCCAGACAGTTCTGTGCATTGAGAATTCAGTATGAACAAGACAAGAGTTTCTGCCTTCATAGAACTCAAATGAATTGATGTGAAAATAATTTAAGCATATTAGTAGTAGTCTGTAAAAGAGTTATTATCAGTAATTCATGCTAGGATAGTGTTTTATAATAATGTGCTTTCTTATTTAATTTTTAAACATGATAAATAAGGCAATTATTCTTATTTTTATTCTTATTTTTATTTAACATATTAGAGCCCTAAGATTTGTTTAAATTTACATTAGGATAACATGAGTTGATCCAGCTATACAGGAGTCCCAGATTGAAGTGACTTTTCCAGATTTCTATGTAGTACTGTCCCATCTGCTTTACAGCCTGAGGCATGGCATACAGCTCTAGTTAGAAGAAAGTAAGTGACTTAACCTATTCTGTGCTGTCTGTGCGGTAGCCACTAGCTGCATGTGCTATTTAATTTTAAATTAACTAAAATGAACAATTCAGTACTTTAGTCACTCAAGCCACGTTTCAAGTACTTGGCAGCCATGTGTGGCTAGTTGCTTTGGACAGCACAGATAAAGGTTTCAATTATTTCATACAGTTGTGTTGTATAGCATCGGTAATTTTTTTTTTTTTTGGTCAGTTTCTGAAGAAAAAGGATAGGGGGATATTAATTGCTGTGTGGGTTTTCTTTTTTGCACTAGTAAAAATGACATAGAAGAACAGGACATCAAGGTTTGACCTTGGCTGATATTTTAGGTCTGTTTTAGGGAAGAGGAGATTTGGGCTCTGGCGTATTAATTTCTGCTGACAAAAACTTTGGTACAGTTTATATTGTAGAAGAGTTCATATTTAATGAATTTGATGCTTTTTTTGAAATGTGATGTTTTAATGCCAGTTTCATTTATAAGATGTGTGCTGGGTGCTATATTTTGATAATATTTTAAAAGGTAAATATTAGGTACTAGTGCTAGGTACTTTTCTAGTTTCTGCAGTACTACAGTGAGTCCTATAGATGAAGTCCTTGTCCTTATAGAACTTACATTCTAGTGGGTTCATATCTGGGTTAATGTCTAGTGAGTTGATTAATATCTAGATGCTTCTTATACTGGTGATTCTATTCAACATTCCCATTAAAGTCACAACAGAGTTGTAACTGAGAAACATTAAAATTCACTAATCTGACTATGAAGAATTTAAGTTAAATTTCCAGGAGTCTTAAATTCTGTTCTTTCCAAAATGACCAAATATTCTCTGAAAGTTTAATTCCGGTCTCCTGTGACATACAGCATGCGTGCAACAATTGTGTGGAATTTATGAATGTAAAAGATATTAAAAGTGTGAAAAAAGCTAATAACTTGGGGAACAGTTTGACAATTCTTACTCTTCAGCATTTGCATTAGCTCAACTTTGTGTTACTAAAAATAACTTACCCATTCTAACAGAGTAAAAGAGCAACTCCTAGTTAATCTTGATTTTAATCCTAAAATTGTGTTCAGAAAAGAAGGCAGATACCATGCAATCAGTGATACAGCCTCATGACTTTCCTAAACTTACAGGACCTTAAACTGTTAAACACCTAAAATTTGTTGAGAATAACACATTTGACTGTTTTCCTAAGTATACTAAGCACAGAGATAAGTTTGAAAATCCCAAGTGTGTCATGTATAAATAACTTAACATTTTCTCACCAGGATGCACCTGCTGCTGCCCGACAGCAGTTCTACACTGACATGTATTGTCCAATCTGTTTACATCAAGCCTCCTTTCCTGTTGAGACAAACTGTGGACATCTGTTTTGTGGTAAGCAAACAGTGCTGTTCTTGGTGTAAGTGACTGTTTAGGCCAAGACCCATATGTGTATACGGGTTGGTTTCTAACTTTCCCTTTTTCAATTTTATATTTTGTGAGTAGGGTACATTGCTTCTGCTATCCTGCTGTTTTTATCAGCCACTTTGATTTAGTATCTGTGGTTCAAAGATTTATAAGCTAGTTATTCATCTACTCAATAAACAAAAATGTGGTTTTTTGAGTAGTAATTCAGTAATTGAAGATTCAGTGTATCCCTCATTGTTTAGCACTTTTTTTAAAAAAAAAAGATTTATTTATTTATGCATACAAGAACGGGGATACAGGCCAGAGGTGTGCGGGTGAGAGGATCCACCAGAGACAGAGTGGGGAATAGAACAGGCAGATTGAATGAAATACACTGCTGAAGGGAGCAGTGGGTGAGTCAGAAGAGGTTTCCTGTGCCATGTGGGTAGCTCCCTGGCTGGAGATTGGACTCGTGCTGCAGTGGCTGCGGACAGCTCCACAGGCTGCATCATAACCCCTGCACCACCAGGGAGGCCCTGTTCAGCACTTTTTGATAGTTTCATTTATTTATCCTGCCCAAGGTAGATTTAAAAGACCTTTCCTTAGTTCTGCAACCTCTCTTTTATTATGAGTCAGTAGAAAAGTTCTTAGTTTCTCTTTCTGTGTCATCTTAAGAGTGTTGGTGAAGGAGAATGAGAAACCTAGAGCACGTAGGAGAAGGGAACACTGATTTCACACTTACTTGTTATCAGTAAGGGGTTCTTTCTATCCCTGGGCATTTTTCCTGAGTTTCTATAGAAAGATTAATAGGAAATAATGAGATATCCTATATTCATTGCTTATTATGGTCATACAATATTGGGGAAGGTCAGTTATTCCATGCTGCTATGTGCTAGACATTTATATACATCATTTCATCTCCATAGATGAAGAAAGTGAAGCTCTGAGATGTTAAGAAATCTTACAAAGTATAACTAGCTCCTAAGGACAGATCCAGGTTTTAGACCTAGGTCTCAATTCACACCCTGTGCTCAGTTCTACTATGTAATTGGTGGCTTATACAATTAGTTATACAATTACTCTAAGATTTACCCAGTCACTGAGACTGTTTTTTAATTGATAGGATATATTTCCTTTTGAACAGCTATAATCAAGATGTTACCCAAAATGTATTCAATTTCCATAGAAAGACTAATTTAAAATGTAGTATACAGGGCCTCCCCGGTGGCGCAGCGGTTGAGCGCTGGGTTGTGAAGCTGCCTGCGGCCTCTGCGGCGCCGGTTCGATCCCCGGCTGCTCCCCGGCCACCGGAGGAGGGTCCCACATGGCGCGCAGACCCCTCCTGCCGCCCGCTGCTCCCCTCAGC